GGTTGGGGCTTGGGGAGGAAAGCAGTGGTAAAACAGAAGTGTGGTGGAAGGGAGGAAAACTTCAACAACAACAACAACAACAACAATAGCATTGTGATGTGCTACTATTATTATTCAAAGACAGCTGTGTTAGTCTGGAAAATAAATGTTTTATTCTGTTGTAAAGCATAGTGTACATTGATGATGCTATTTAAATAAATAATGATAAATGATAAAATCAGTGTGCAGAGGGATCTTGCAGCACCTTTGAGACTCACTGGAACAGAAACTGAAAGATAAAAATAAACACTAGGATTATTTGGGGTGCCTGCATTGCTGACATTGCAGGGCGCAAATTTTTATCCTTTTCTTTCTGGTGTGTGATCCATCTGAGAAGCCCCCCAGTCGCCTCATCTGACATGGAAATGGGGTGGCTGGCCATATGGGTTCAGCAAGGCGCCCCGTTTCCATATTAAATGGGGCAACTGGAGGGCTTCTCAGGTGGATCGTCTGCTGGAAAGGTAAGGAGCAGTGTGCCAATTCTGGATTGGTGCAGGGCCAAATGTGTGAACATCTGCCCATCCCTGTGCCAACCTAGGGACTAACCCAGGTGAGCATAGAATTAGGCCCAGATCTTTTCAAACAATGAATAATTTCTTTTTCTGTCCCCCAGGCTTAGAGGAACTCAGAAACATTGCCAGGTTCCACTTTCTCTCGTGAAAGACGTGGCAATTCTTGCTTGGAAAATGGCACCTCCTCTCTTAGACTGGTAGGAGACAGTGCCTCCGACTGCAGATGATTTTCTTGCCAAAGGGCTGAAGGCCAAGACTTTGGATTCCAGCTGATATTTCCTTTTCTTGGAAAGCCATTTTGAGAAGTCTGGGAGCGGGTGGGCCAAGGCTATACCCCTCTGTGTCCCCTTTTCTCTCTGCTCAGCTCTGGCCGCACTCCTTGTTCGCCTCTTCTTTGGCCATCCGGAAGGGCCATCCTTCACCCGCTGGTGGGTCTGGATACAGCCTCCTCCCTGGTCACTCTGGTGGGATCCAAGATGGCACTGGGGAAAGGGGAAACGGCTGCCCTTCACCTTCAGTTTCCGGGTACATCGGAGCGAGGGTTGCAGACGCCCCTGAAAATGGAGGATCAAGACCTCTCTGGGCACGAACTCGGGGGCGGAAGAGTGCCACGTTTCCTCCCGGTCGGGTCCATGCGGGACTTTTTGGCCAGGGAAGCTCATCAACAGGTGAAGCAGGAACCGGATGAAGGGCTTCAACACCAGCAGCAGCAACAACGGCAACCACCACAACTACAACCACAGCCGCCGCCATCGCCGCAGCACTGGGAATCCCAAAGGCAGGAGTTTCCCAAGACTGTGCAATACCCCCAGTCCGGATGGAGAAATCCCCCAATGCACAAGGCCTTGCCGTGGGACATGAATTCCTTTCCGGCTCCTTATGAGGCTCCCCCAGACACTACCCAGTGGTCCTCCGGAGGAGGCTGGGTGCCTCAAAGCCTTCCGCGTCTCAGCCGAGACCCTCCGCCTGTCTATAGCGAGCACAGAGAGCGAAGGAGTTACGGGAGCATGAAAGATGAGGTTTCCAACGAAGATGCCATCAGCTCGGAGATCCGGCGCCAGCGCTTCCGGCACCACCGCTACCAGGAGGCTGAGGGTCCCCGAGAGATCTGCCGGCAGCTCCAAGAGCTCTGCCATCAGTGGCTGAGGCCAGAGCGACGCACCAAGGAGCAGATCCTGGAGGTCCTGATCCTGGAGCAGTTCCTGACTGTCCTGCCTCAGGAGATCCAGAACTGGGTCAGGGACCACGGGCCGGAGAGCTGTGCCCAAGCGGTGGCCTTGTCGGAAGATTTCCTCATGAGGCAGCGGGAGGCCCAGAGAAAAGAGCAGCAGGTAATAAAATGCCTTTGGATTCTTTTTGCAGCCTGTGGGTTATTGTGGTTAATGGCTACCGATCGGTGAGGTAGGTGGCTAGAACAGACGGGGCCTTTTCAGTAATGGCACCCTCTCCGTGGAATGTCCCCTTGCCTGGGACCTGCCTGCTTTCTGCTGTTTTCAGCACCCAGCGGGGAAGACTAGACATTTTAGATGTTCTTCATACTTTTAGAACAAGGAGAGGAATCCTAGCAATAGCAATAGCATTTACATTTCTATACCACTTCATAGTGAACACAGCACTCTCTAAGTGGTTTATAATGTGTAAGCCAATTGCTCCCAACAAGCTGGGTACTCATTTTACTGACCTACGAAAGGATGGAAGGCTGAGTCAACCTTGGAGCCCTGCCTGGGATCGAACTCATGACATTGTGGCTCCAGTACCAGCATTTAACCACTGCGCCATTAGGTCTTCTCCAAAACTTAAAATGTCAGGCTACAACATCCGCTATCCCCAGCCAGTAGAGCCAATAGCAAGGAATGCTGTGAGTTGCAGTCCAGCAACATCTGTGGGATCCCTGCAGTTTTGTTGTTGATGTGTGCCTTCAAGTCCCAGGTTATAGCAACCCTAAGGCAACCCTATCACAAGATTTTCTTGGCAAGACTTGTTCACAAGGTGTTTGCCTTTGCCTTCCTCTGAGACTGAGGGGGGTTGCAGACTGTCAAAAATAGTGTGAATTCAGTCCACTTTTAGGGTTAGGGTTAAGGTTAGGGAATCATGGGAACTGAATTTTATTGTGGCACTAGAGTTCTCTGACAAAGAAGGTTCAATGTCTCAGAAAAATAACAATTCCCATGATTCCCTAGCACTAACCCTAACCCTAAAAGTGGACTGAATTCACACTATTTTTGACAGTCTGCAACCCCCCTCAGAGAGAGTGACTTCCCCAAGGTCACCCAATGGGTTTCCATGGGCAAGTGGGGATCCGAACCCTGGTCTCCAGAGTCATAGTCCAGCACTCAAACCACTACACCATGCTGGCTTTTAATGCAATAAGTATTAAGCAATCTTCTGAAATATCTGCGGGTGCATCTATACTGTAGCACTAATGCAATTTGACATCACTTGCTGTAGCTCCATTCTATAGAATTCTGGAATTTGTAGTTTGACAAGACCTTTAGCCTTCTCTGCCAAAGAGTACTGGTGCCTCACAAAACTACAAATCCCTGGATAATGTAGGATGGAGCCATGGCAGTTCAAGTGGTGTCACACTGCATTATTTCTACAGTGCAGATGCACCCTGTATGTTTACCATTTGACATCTAAGGGTAGCCATGTTGGCCATATTGCCAATCCAATAACATCCAAACAATGATACCTTTATTGGGCCAACCAAAAT